TAGAGAAAGAACAAAAAAAAATCATTTTCATTATATTCCTGGATGCATTTAAAATAATTAAGTTGGAATTAGGAGAATGAAAAGCAAGGCAAAGAGAAAGCTTGCATGACTTCAAGGGAAAAAAAAAAAAAAACAAGATACTTAAATTATATCCTCACATACCTCCATACTCTTCCCCAGAACTCCCAATGGAAATGTAAAAAGGGGTGACATTTTCACCTACCCCATTACTAATTTAGGCAAAGGGCAAGCGTGCCAAAAGCTATTTATAACAAAGGCAGCCAGGGCAGCAGAGTGGGGGGCTGCGAGGGGTGCAGAAACAGGTGCAGTGGCAGTGCGCATGACCCCATGCGCCGAGGGGAGGGTTGGCTCACCCAGCCGCTAAAATATGACATCTGGGGCTCATGATAGTCATAGGGCTTTTCCATCACCAGGCGGGGCGGGGAAAGGCAGGGAGGGAGGGAAGGTCATTGCAGCGGGCCTCTATAAATTAAAGGCAAACCCGCCTTTTTCTTCAATGAAATAGTAAAGCCAGGCAGAGCTTAGTGAGGGGAATAGGCAGGAAAGAAGAAAGGGGAAGGAAAAAAAGGATCAGGCATAATCTTGCTCTGCTTTAACTTTCAGCACTTCTGATCTAATCTTTCTTTTCTTGCCACGTTCCTGCTAAGGAAGCAAATCTACAAAGATGAAATACATCATAGGTATCGGAGGGTAAGTTGCTATCAATATTGCATATATATTACTTTCTTTCTTGTTTAATTGTTGTTAAGATGATCTGAGGCTTAGAGATTATGTAGGTCTCTATAATATAATATTACAGGACAGAAGAGATATAGCTTGAAACTTACTATCTAATTACAAGAGATGCTTTTATGTAGTACAGGGAGTGCTGCGGGGTGGCATATACTGAATTTTTATATATTTACAGGAAGTATGATAAAGTACAAAAAGCTCTTAAATAACTTGCAGGCAAAATTAAGGGAATGGTGCGCCTCAGTGAGGTACAACATGAAGTTAGACTTTTAAAACCTCACTGAAAAACACAGAGGGGAAAAAAAATCCTGCTTCAAATAGGGGCAAGAGGGGGAATGGCACCAAAAGATTTTCTTTTACCTAGCTAAGATTTGGAAGTGGCCTGCACGTGTGTGTAGGACACGGTGACCGATACAGATTGGCATAGCCTCCCTGACTGCAGAGGAGCTTGCACCACTGACACCAGGCAAGGCTATGATTTATAACGCTAGTTCACAAAAGTGTGAGATTTCTACAGGCTTTGAATAACAGATGAAAACGCAGATGACAACTCCCTCATTTGGGGAGGAGGATTATTCAGACCTCTTCTATTAAAACACGTTTTGCAGGTACAAGAAAGTCTGAATCATCCTCTGAGAGGAGGAAAAAAAAAGCTAGCCTCATTTATAATTAATTTAAGGGAGGTTTTTTTTGTTCTTAAAGCACTTCTTGCATGCCTTATTTTCAGGGGGAGAATCTTTTTTAAGTTGAGGAATCCATGAATGGAAGCCCCCTAAATCACAAAGGTTTTAGGGCAATAATAGTCAGAAAGAACATATATGCAATCTGTTCTTCAAGTTGCCGGGTCTTTGCAAGGGAAAAGCCCTTGGCAGATATATTAGTGGGGAACTCCCCCCCCCCCTTCACGTTTTTCACATGCCCGGGTTTTGCTAACGGAGGATGTTTTAGAGACCCCGCAAAGCGGATGGGCAGGGGTGAGGAAGGCCGCTGAAGCCCCGAGTGAGGCTGACGGGGCACACAGAGGACAACTGCTGGACTCACGGAGCAGGAGGAGCCCGGCGCGCTCCTCCATCTTGAGGCCACAGCGCGCGGGACTGCCCGCAGCTTTCACACAGACTCGCTGCGGGCAAAGGCGGGAGAGTCCCTGCCGGGGAAACGGCCCCTCGGGAAGGCAGGGGAGGT